CGCCTTGGCACCGTGCTCGCCCACGCGCACCCGGGCACAGCCCCGCCCTCCACATTCCAAATGGCCGTGCTTTCTTTTCGATATTGGCAATACTGTGGAACTTCGATATCTCCGTTCTGAAGGGGAAAAGAAAACATTCCAGTTATTGATTATTTCGACTTATCAAGGTCTGTGTACCGAACATGTAGGAAAGGGGGAAAAAGAGGAAGGGGAAAACTAGGGAGGGGAGTAAAGTGTGGAAGAGAAAGGGAAAAAGAATAAGCGATGAGGTCAGGTATTATGTTTAGGAAATAAAAAACAGGAGTTCAAGATATTGAAAATCGTGTTATCGAAGTTCCACAGTACCAACATCAATAATATTTTTTCGATAAAATCATAGTTTGAATTGAGAAATTGACGTTTAGAGATCAAAACGTTTTTCACATGTTACATGGCTGTTATTAAGTCACTAAAAATATCCACATCTCAAAATTACATTTTACATATACAGTTGAATTCGAGGAGTTTTTCCAAAATGACAATCATTTCATAAAGAGATGGGCATATTTTTAATTTTATACTACTTGTAGAGCTCCTTTTGTTGATACGACAGTGTGCGTTCTTTGCCATCTCTTTCAGTCACATTTTCTTCAAAATAGTTGTCCTACAAACTATAGTTTTCATTGTTCCTAATACCCCGAAAGTGTTTCTTTCAAAACGTCTGTCCCGTTAGGGCAAAACATTCATCTGATATTGACAGGAGAAACCTCGGGAAAGTTGCCGCTAAAATTCACAAACAGCGGCTCAATTCGTTCAGGTTTCATTGCTAGTGTCTAAAATCCTTCTCTGTCTGGTCTAACTCCAGGACCTCCCCATCAAGAGTCACTGTAGAAACAGCGACAATGCAGCTGAGTCCTAAACACAGCTTTTTTTGGGATTGGGAACTACCGGAGCAAGATTTGGGTCAATGAGGCTATCCCAAGAAACGAAATTCATCGGAGGTTGAGAAGAAGTGTTTAACTACAGATTTGTACAATTTTGGAGAGATTCGGCTACTATTAAAATAATATGTAATTGTTACAGGTAATGCGAGAAAGTACATGCTGTTTAAGCGCCACGAAGAAGAATAAATTACAGTTAATTATTATAACTTATTACATTCATTAATAAAGTTATTTACAAATTAGAGAACCTCATACGAATATTTCATTGCTTAATTTAACTTATTGTAGAATTCTTAAACTTTCATTTCTTCACCGCAAATCAATCTACACGAACGGGTAAATAAATTTCAAACCACAGAAATTGAAAAAAAAATACACATTTAATTTTCGTATGATTATAATCTATGTTTATGTGATTGCTAATTTTTTAAGGGTAATAAATACGCTTAAATTACATTTTCTCGTCTCCATAAAGGCTTCAAGTTAATTCAAATTAAATAAATGACTTAAATGAAGACCGTTTAACATATTTACTATTTACTTCACGTACTTAATGGCTAACTTCAGATCTCTTGGATACAGATTTATTGGTTAATCGATAAAGGATGCTTTGAATTGTGATAATTAACTTTTTAATATTGATTTAAGTAATAGAAATTCTACTTGTATATAAAAAGAAATAATTTGTTGTTTTAATTCTTTTGAACAGCTTAATTCACGTGAAATAAAACTAAATTAACTAGTGATGCTACAACAGCACATATTGTTACAATTTTCAAAAATCAGACATTTCAACGAAAGTGAGTTCTGCGCCATTCTATAAAGTGTCCTTTATGCTATCAGAGGACAAAATGTAATTAAGAAAGAAGCCATTTTTTGAAATTTAGGAAAATGTAGAGGTTTCATGCAAAGTACCTAATTACCCGTTTAAAACTTGCAGGGCTTCGAGTTCGTGCAGATCGATCGGGGAATGATGTTTTGACTAACAGACATTTGGTGCCATTCGATCGTTCGGCAATAAGGACTCTCAAAACGGATTCTAACTAAACAATGTGTTAGATAGCGCTCAACGCTCCTTAAGGAGTTAGGAGAAGCGTTGCGTCTATATAGACGCAACAAATAAAAAAAACAGATTCTGCCTAAAGAATGTGATAGAGCAAGTAATTTAGTGTAGGAGCAAGGTCAATCCACATTTTCGTAACCACGGCCGGGAAAAATTAGTTATTTTCTGAAGAAAAAACAAAATTGTTTTCGACTTACGATGACAACATTTTCGCTTTACTACTTATGTAGTAAATGAAAAATTGATATTTTATTTAAACAAATAGTTTATAACCCCATTTAAAATCGTCTGTTTGTTTTCACCGTTTATGTGAAAATCAATGTAGAGGCCAATGAATGAACACTACTTCAGGCGTTGACATTATAATTTTATTGTGTCAAACATCACACCATACCATTGTCGTGCACTTCGAGCGCCGTCTCCAGTTGTCGGAAAGTGCCAAATGCCGTAAGAAAGCAACAGGAGCGAACGCAGGTAGTAAATAGATTCTCTTTACACGTTCCCATTACTCATTCGAAAAGACTAATCATTTGATTAGTTCAGTGCATTCTCAATTATTTCGTTTAATTGAAGCCGCTCTTGATCTTGGATTCTAGAAAATGAGGTAATACGATTTGTCAAGAAAAGAAAATATGTAGTGTTTAATGGAAAAGTAAAGTGACCGAGTACAGTGCAGTACATTAGAAACAACCGCAGTTGGAAATGAAAGTGGAATTTCAAATGCTTTACGTACTTTGTACTTTTCATTGTACTCTTTTCTACGAAATACAATTTCTCGAGCGAATTTCAAAGAAAGCAAGAAAATTCGATGAAACTGCTGGGAGAATCGGTTAACTGAAGATCAGATAATGATTGGGGTCGTACTGTACACGAATATCAAATACCCTGTTATTTTATTCTTACAAGGAATGACTATTTTTTGTTGTTACCTAATGTAATTCCATTTCTTTAACGCCGTTAAAACAGCGCCGATGTATTTTGGAATCAGTTCCTGACAATATACTGAGAAAAAAACAGGAGTGGAAAACGAGAACAAACTATTGATAACAACACTGACTGGAAGGTCGACATTTTCCCTGACATGGCGAATTATTGATGCAGCGTAACAAAACGCTGTGAACGTAACAGAGGAGGTGAGGAAACGCTCTAGTGTCTGACAATGCAGTTAGTATGGGTTGAAATTTTCATCGACGAAGAGAAGAGCCGAAGGCAAAGTAGTAAGGTATTCAAGGCGTAACTCGGTGAAAACTCCAACTTCTCTCGTGATTTACAACTCCTCCGCCCCTTCTGCGGCAGCGAGGCGAGGCGAGGCGAACGCGGTGCGGCGCGGTGCGGCGCGGTGCGGCGCGGCATGGCTCTCCCCAGCGCGGTTTCGAGGTGCTACCCGCCCTGGGCACAGACCATTTTGACGCCGCCTCCCGTGTATTAAAGGGAAAGCGTACAGAAGATAGTATATTTTCTTATGTATGAAGTTTACCGCACAAGCCATGACAACTATTTTGTTTTCGAAAATTCGCGACTGGCAAGACGTTTTAAAACGTACAATCGCAGTCAGGATATATATGAGAACGTTCAATGGATATGTTATGGCTAAAGTCTGAATGAGGTTAATTCCCGAATTGGCCAGTTCATGGAAAATGGATGGATATGTTCCGGAGAAGGAACAGCTTCGAAGCATACGTCGGACTTCGGACCGGATGAAGTGCACATCAGACAACATGAGGTGGCTAGAGGACGTTACGGTAACGCATAACAGCACTTAATAGTACGTGATACACTGAGACGAGACGACTGGTGGGAAGTTTCGAGTTCCACAGTCTCTGTCGTAAATTTTTATTTACATCGCCTACCCTAACCTAACCTAACTATGTACCTGAGTTCTGTTTCGCTTCGCATTTCCGAAATAGTGACGGGAATCCGGCCTTCGCACGTCGTGATTTACAAAAAACAATCTTGACTGTGCAACGTACATTTTCCAATGCACTTTTTGGCCGAAATACTTCTTGCAAACACACAAACTACGCCTGGCACTCGGACAGTCACTTTAATGATTGGTATGAAGTCCGAAATGTGTTCGCCGTCATTCATACAGCTTTCTAAAAACCACATGGCTACTAAATGAAAGGAGCTTATTTAGTATTTAGTTTGTTTGCATTTTCTTCGTTTTTTAGTTAAAAAATCTTATCTTTCTCTTAATTCCTGATTTTAAAAACCATGTTCTACAATGAAGCTTTCAAAGACACCGGAGTCAGTGTACTGAGAAAACTATAGCTAAACGACGTAAATCGATATAAATAAAATTGGAGTGTCTTTGATTTCAAAATAACTAACTAGGTTCATGTACTTATTGAATATAAATGTGATATAAAAAGCGTTTTAATTGTTTTTGCGACTTTTGTCTGACTGTCTGTTACCTGGTGGTAATTTAAAGATTCTGCGGGTCTCTGGAACGTCTGAACCAATTTCGATGCTGTTTTCTCAGAAAGGTAGAGTGTTTTGTTGACCACAACTTACGCTATTTTTTAAAATTATCTTCTCTTATATAAAAGTTTTTGGGTTTGTTTCTATACAGTATACAATATTTTCCACTTTCTTAATGAAATGTTCTGTACGTGATCTTCGAAACATGAGGCAAATTACTGGGTACATGAGATTTGGTAGAACGTACGTCTATTTCCCTTTCCTACAACATGGAGCAAAATGTAAGTGTAATTAATTCTTTCCTATTTTCACAAATATCTAAAACATAGTGAGTAAATTCAAGAAAGAAAATTAAACATAAATGAAAGCCTATTAAATTTCCACCTAATTGCATTTCAAATCATTCAAATAGCGCAATTACCTTCCGGGTAATTGGGGGGAAAATCGTTTCTGGACGTGCGCAGGAATACATCTGCTTACAGCTGCCCTTAGATAGTGGTTGCAACGATGGATGCAACGATGCAACGTTGCAACAACAACGTAGCAGGGAGGGTAGTGGTAGGACGGATCGGGTGAAGCAGAGTGAAGCGGGGCGTGGAGGGGCAGGGCAGAATGAGAAGGTAGAGTGTGGGGCGAAGCGGGGTGAGATTGGCGGGACAGGGGTGTGGTGGATCAGGGTACGGCAAGGAAGGGCGCGAGGCGGGGATACACAAAACTAAGAATTCGTTGCTTTTCATATCTAATAGATTATTATGATTAACGGGTAGATATCGGGATTTAATAGCTAAAGTACCCGAGGTACACAGGGTACTTCAGCAATTAAATAAAAAATAAATACAGACGTAAATATCTTTAAGACAGGTTTATGGCATAATCGATATCTTGTGCTTCGCAGATTCTTTATTATTTAATGATTCGATCTTTTCAATTTCTCTTTCAGATTTGAGATATTGAGGTTTTGGCGTCCTCTTCAGAATTGAACAGCCTTCACAGGCATCATTAGTCCAAGAAGTTTTCAAATGTACTTTTATCACAATGGACGTTCCGCGGATGGTCGATGTTGGCATAGTGATCCAGATGGATAATGGGGGACTAACACCGTAGATGGTGAGAATTTCACGGACGCAGTCTTAAATGAGCAGTGGACGAAGTATCAGCTTGCATCACAAAGTGGTAGAGATTATTCCACATTCTTATAACATTTAGAGCTCGCTCATTACTTAGAGCTCGTAAAGCGACTTTTTCTCTGTGCATTGATTGGCACACCATCCGGAGAGGGAAGCACCCTGCGACTTCCAATCGCTAGGGCAATGGCAAAATAGTTATTTCATTGCGCTAGATCTCAATGCAAGACACGTGGGTAAACTGAAAGCAGCAATGTCGGCGTGAACGGCTACATTGAATTCTGCAGATTTGTTTTAAAGCGACGTCACATCGATACATCGACCTCCACCGTGTGGCAACGAGTATTTTCACAATTTGCGAACCCTTCAGAGCGCCATACACCTTCAACTAGACCTTCAACTGCAAACATATCGCGTGCCTATTGTAAATTTCTAGACCTCACGTTGTTCTCGACAAGAAAGGAGCAAGACCAGATATTGCTAGTTCCGCCTGAAGTTATACGGGATCCATTAGTACCATAGACCCCATCGCAAACCGAGAGCTCACCTTGAGGATGGATGTGGCGGCATAGTATCGCTCGGGCGGCGGCGGCACCGGAGGCGGTGGCCCACTGGGCGGCAGGAACGCCGGCAAACCGGGCTCGGCGTATACGCGCGGCCCCACCAGAACGTCTGGCACCTGCACGTCTGCAACAGCCCAGCGCCACGAGCGCGCCAGCCCTCAGCGCCAGCCCTCAGCGCCAGCCCTCAGCGCCAGCCCTCAGCGCCAGCCCTCAGCGCCAGAACTCAGCGCCAGAACTCAGCGCCAGAACTCAGCGCCAGAACTCAGCGCCAGAACTCAGCACCAGCTCCCGGTGACAACCCCCGTGGCAGAACTCTGTTCGCTCTCAGCGAGGGCCCCAACGACTGCGCTCGGCATTGCGCTCAGAAATACCCCTCAGTGCTAGACCTGGCCCTCAGCCCCAGCCTGCCCTCAGCTCCAGCCTGCCCTCAGCCCCAGCCTGCCCTCAGCCCCAGCCTGCCCTCAGCCCCAGCCTGCCCTCAGCCTCAGCATGCGCGTCGCGTCACTCGCCCCACAGACACAGCCAGCCACCAGCCCCAGCATGCCTCCTAAGCCCCAGTCTGCATTCTCCCCGCAGTCTCAGTAGTGGGACATGCAAGTTCATTGGTCGCACGTCAAATCAGCGAATGGTATTGTCCGCGGCAGGCCTTTAGAAACCTGAGCTCCATTTGTCTACAAAATCGAAATAAATTGACGGTTAGGTAATTCCGACCCTCGAGATGATGGTAACCCCTCATAGAAACCCGATACACTTGTAATGGTTACAAAATCATTAGACCAAGAGGCGTATAACAAGTTATAACAAATTGCATATCACGTAACCATTGAGATATTTGAGAATGCTGAAAGGGAGAGAAGATCGCGAAAGATCTTCGTGCGCTGAAAAATAAAACTGAGCTTTCAAGAAAAACGACATTTTCAAGGGCCCCTACATTCTCTGACGTACAATCCTTAAAGAAAGGAGGATCTTTAACGACGGCATGGTTCCAGGTCCAATGTTTCTGTTCTGTCAATATACTAGAGCGTTGGTGGGAGGCAGCAGCCCTTTATCCCTCCCTCCATGCAGAGAGGCCTCTAAAAGTCAGGCACATGAAATATCTCCTTTATTCCTCCACTTTTCCATCCGGTCAGACCAGCCGGCCCCTAGAATTCTTCTCCAGACAGATAATGAATTCGACCTGGCTATCAAGCTAGTGTCGATAATCCGCAACTGCCGGGAGAGGATTCCTAGGACCTCTCGGTTAGAAACACTGCCGTTACAATAGCTGCTGCCCGAAGCCATCTCGGCCGCTACGAGCTTTTCGCGCCGGCCCTTCACGTGGCGAAGACTCACCTGTGTAGTCGGGACTGTGCGCGGGCCGCAGCAGCAAGGCGGGCCCGGCGCCGCCCAGCGTCCCGCCGAGGGTGCCGCCCAGAGCCCCGCCCAGCGACCCCGCCAGCATGGCGCCCAGCGGCTCGTGGTAGAGCGCGCCCTTCTCCATCGTCGCGTCCTCCAGCGACACCTGCCACACGCCGCGCCGCCGGGAGTTAGGCACCGCGCCCGAACGCACAGGAGGAGAACGAAGAAGAGAGGAAGAAGAGGGGAAGTGGGCGGATTTCAGTCCTTTCCACGACCTCTGTACACAGCAGTAGAAGGAAAGTGGCACATCCGACAAATATGTCAGAACAGTTAATTTGAGTAGGGTTGTTTATTTGGGATCTGAGCATAGTGTTATACTCTATACAATGGCTGCCTTGTTATTCAATTTTGCAAGCACAAATAGACGATTGTCTTATGATATTTCTCCACCATTCCAAAATTATGATTTTTCTTAAAATGTGCACTTTTGTGTCGTACACCGACGTTAAAGACGCAAGGTCTAAGGGACGGAAATACTCGGAGTGATCATATACGTTCTCTCGAAAGTTTCAGTCAATTTTCAACATCTTCTCTATTCGAGTTTCAATAAAACTGTTATAGAACTGTTCTATTCACGTTTTCTTAAAATTTAGACAGCGAGAAATTGTAAACCATCATAAATGAACAGTTGGAGTTTGACCACCTTTAAATCGACTTAAAGCACTCTTTCCATGAAAAAAAGAACAAAAAAAAAACTGTGGTGAAACTACGCGTGGGCATTTATCTGAACGCCATTCGTATTGCGACGAAAGATACGGCTTCATAAAGCCTCGCGACGCCAGATCGCAAAAGGGGCGCGCGGCGCCGTAACATTTCCGGCGCGTTGGAAGAGGGGTCGCGACGACTGGGAGCCTGACATGCGTCTCCGGCGAGCTCTCATGGCGAATAGCGCAGTAAAAGAGGACGCAGAAGGAAGCAGAAGCAGTAGGGGTAGTGGGAAAAAGATGAATAAGGGGATGGTCGAAAAGGAAAAGGGAGGGAAAATAATGAGGAGAAGGAGGGGGAAGAAAGAGGAGAAAGAAGGGGATAAAGAGGAAGAGAATAAGGAAGGAGAAGAGGAAAATATTGATGGGAGGGAGTATGAGGAAAAAGAGGAGAAGAATGAGGAAGAGGATGAGAAGCTGACGGATGAAGACACGGATGAGGAGGAGAATCCGGAGACAGATAAGGGGACGGATGGAGAAGAGACGGATGAGGAGGAGAAGGATGATAAGGAAAAGGATGATCAGAAGAAATATGAGGAGGAGAAATATGAGGAGGAGAAGGATGAGGAGAACGATGAGGAGGTGATGGATAAGGGTGAGAATGAAGAGGAGAACCAGTAGCAGCAGGAGAAAGAACAGAAGGAAGACAAGGAAAAGAGCAATGTAAGAAAATTCTGTTCCAGCCATTGCGCATCTTGAAAGGCGGGGCGCTCACCTTCTTGCAGGCGGCCTTGTCGGTGGGCGGGGCGGG